GATCTCAGAATGCTAACGGGACTACTCACGGGACACTGTGGTCTCAGATATCATCAGTTCATCCTAGTAAACGCCATATCGAAGCTATGCAGATTTGGTGGCTGTCCTCAGAACACATATTGTGCAATTGTCCAACACTAAGGACTCGTCGAGAAAGAATCTAAGGTGCTGCAACACTAGCCCCGTAGGATATATTCAATCTCTCACCAATCAAACCTGTTATTTTGATATGTGAATTAAACCTGTTATGGTGAACCCATGGGCTGCACAAAAGATCCAAAATCTAAGAGGTTTGATAACTGCAAGACTTAAAATGCAGACATACATAAATAGTCCACAGCTCTATAATGAATTATCCGATTTTTCAGAAATATGGACTAAATTTCTGACTTAAAAACGGTGCTTTAAATATAAAAGATAATCAAAAGTCAAACTCTCCATGTCGGAATTAGTTTAAAAGCCAATAAAATTTACATAAATGTAGCCAATAAAATAAGTATGTAATTGTTTGGAGTTGCTTTCAGAATGAGAGCTGTATTAATACTTAAAACGTTATGTTCCAATTAATCCAAATATGATACAAAGTTCTCCTTCAAATGTCTATTCAAACATAATGCTGATTCCATAAATTCCCTGAACCGCTTTAAGTAACATTCTTAAGCTTACGAAAACTGATGACATGATTTATTCTTTAACTATAAATATCCTTTAACTTTAATGTCAAACATGTACTTCGGTAAATTTTACTACACATTTATGTACATTATGCCAACATTAACTTATTATGCTTGAAATATAATGTATATGACAGTTTTTAAATGTTATTAATCATATACACATGTAAATCATTATAAATAAAATTATAAAAATAAAAAATATGTCTACGAGCAGTATTAAGTTCTTGTGTATAAAAAGACAAATAGATAATTACACTGGCTAACAAAATTGCAAAAAAATACAACCAGATACCTAAGTAAAGTTTTCAAACGGATTGGCAGTACTAAACTCAGAATGGAAACATCGCATTAGGTTTTCAAGATATCGTATCTTGTAATATAAAAAGTACCGTTTTTGTGTATATAAGAGGCATTATAAAAGCTTGGAGACATCTTTGTTATATCATCTTTATTCCTTAAGATATCTTAACCTAAAGCTCGAGAAATATTTTAGCAACTACAGTACTAAAGAACTCAAAAAGTACTTTTATAGAAAAAATTATGGCAAATTGTGAAATATTAGTTTTACGTAAAAAAGTTGTAGTAAAAACTTAGGTTTTAGGTTAAGAGGCTTTAAAGTCAACATATTAAACTTTCAGCTCTCTAGGTTAAAAATTTGTTAGTCTGTGTTATCATGTAGGTAAAATATATTTATTAAATAAAGTCACCTTTATAAATTTTTAACACAAAATAAACAGATAAAAACATCTTGGTTGTCTTGTAAAAGTTGTATGTCTGGGTCTGTTCAAAAAAGCATCTTTAACACAAAAGCGCTTTGTTTGAGCTTAATTTGTAGATAAATTAATTACTTACAGTTTTATTAAAAAACCACTCAATCATTGTAGTCAAACATAATCGGAGAGAAGAAAAAAATAAACAGATTTCTACATATGTATACAATAAACTTAAAGGGACCAACTGTTTTTTAGGAATTTATTTCAAATTTTTTATTAAAAATTTTACAAAGATTTTAAAATTTAAATCGGCGGCTTAATGTTTTATAAAAGTCTTGATTGTTAACTCTTATAAAAGTCATGTAGGAACTAAATATTATACAAAAATAACAGTTATCTTAATTTTGTAAACAAATCGAGAGCAGAATGATTGTTGTAAAAGTTTAGTTGGTCACAGTTTTCGAGAGATTAATCCTTATATGTACATTCAACGCACATGTATGTAGATATTATGAAAATTTCTGTATGAATAAAGATATTTTCATAAATTAATATACTCACAGCTACATACACAAACAGTAATATTTAACAATGGGAAAGTAATTGTTAAACAATATACTATAGTATTTTTTACATATTTTTTGTTAATATAAACCACCTCTGTTGCATGATTATGATTTAATATGGATGTAATGTTTAATTATATCATCTGTTGGATTTTATGATTAACATGAAGGAAGTTTGTTTAACAGATTTTCAATTTAACTTGTACATGTTTATATATATATATATATATATATATATATATATATATATATATATATATATATATATATATATATATATACATATATATATATATATATATATATATATATATATATATATATATATATATATATTTCTGTTTTTGTATTTTATTTTACAAGTTCCTATATTTTACAATTGTTTATGTCAGTTGTTGGTTTTGTTATAATCCATTTTATTAAGTCTGTCTATATGGCGGTTTGTTGTTTTATATCTTTTTATTTACTACTCCTGTTTATATAATTATTTCCTGCAAGTGCAGAAGATGTTTGTTTTAGTTTTACGAAACTATTGTTAAGATTGGATTTGTTTTTTTCTCTATTTTATTGTGAAAAATTGTCACATCTTATTGAATACCTAGTTGCGATAATGTTTTCATGTCTTATTTGTTAATTGTGCAACATGTTGTTACAACATGTGTTATAGTCATTGTTTTAACAGCATTAGAGTTTTATTGGAGAAATACACGAAAGTTAAAGTTAAACAAAAAAATTTTAAAATTTTATTAAAAAATATATTAATTTTATTTTTTATTTTATTTCAGGTAAGGACAACTATGTTATAAAACTGAAGATTTGTGTAAATAAGTATCCTGACCAGTAAGTAATAGATCATATTAAATAGATTAAAAACGATGTCAGGTAGCTTAACTTGCATTACCTTTACCCTCATCAAAGCTTTTGATGAATATGTTCCATCGGTTTCTACTTGAGAGAGAAAGTACTGATTTGATATGGAAAATATGAATCAGGTCTGAAGGCATAACTCTATGTAGATTGTTGTCAAAGTCAACCAGAGCTTACAAAACCCTTGGGAGCTACTCAAGCAGGAATTTCAGAAAATTTGAGAGCAGCATTCAAAAGTAGAGAAATGATTAAAACCGAGAGACCTTGAATATATATATCCAGATCTTGCCCCATCCGATTACTATTTCGTTTTCATCGCTACAAATTGCTCTCTCTCTCTCTGACATAAACTTCACATCGGAACAGGGTATCCAAATTTAGCTTTATTCGTATTTGCTCTTAAAAGATATGCTGTTCTTTTTTAAAGCTTCAGACATTCATTTTATGGTTAAATATCGACTTAAAGAATTCTGTAAAGTGCCGCTCGTATTTGATTCAAGTCAGTAATAGGGTTCTATAAATCGACTTTCGAATAATCGAACAATCGACTTTTTGTTGAAAAAAGTCGAAGTAGACTATTTTCTTCCAAAAATGTCTGTAACTCGACTATCGTCTATGAAAAAAGTCGACTTTGTAAATAAAAGTCGAAAAGTCGTAAAAAGTTAAAAATAGTCAAAAAGTCGAAAATAGTTCAAAAGTCGAAAATAAGTCAAAAAGTCGAAAATAGTCAAAAAAAGTCGAAAAAAGTCGGAAAAAGTTGAAGATAGAAGGAAAAAGTCAAAAAGTCGAAAATATTCCAAAAGTCGGAAATAGTGCAAAAGTCGTAAAAAATCGGAAATAAGTCGAAGAGTCGAAAATAGTCGAAAAGACGGAAAAAATCGAAAAAAGTCGAAAAGTCGACTATTCATAAAATACTAAAAGTCGAAAAGTCTAAAAGTTTAAAAGTCGACTTTTAATTAAATGAAAAAAGTAGAAAAATCGACTTTTCATAAAAAGACGAAAAGTATACATATAGATCCCTAGACTCCTTGAAAATCTAAAATTCCTGAAACTCCGGAAATCACCTTTGAAACAGTTGGTATTTCTACAAAAGTTAGCAAATATCATGCAAAATATTATGATGGTCAGCTCATTATAAAGTCCACTTCCGAAAATTACTGTAGTGATTTACTTATAGCGTAAGCTTTATACCAAAGTATACTATTATCATCTGGACATACACAGAGGGAAAAAGAAATATACACGTCTGGTACCAAATTGACACCAAACTGTTTATAATTTTTCAATGCCATCCGTTGTCAAAGTATATACATACGTACGACAACATTGCAACAATTCGTTGTCGAAATGTAAATTTTATACACATCCGTTGTCTAATTGACAAACAATCCGTTTCTAATAGTGAGCTTACCACGTTTGTTAACATTTAGACAACGGATGTGTATAAAATTTAGATTTCGACCAAGGATTTTTTGCAATGTTGACAACGTTGCGTTTATAACATTACATGGTGTTGTACGTATGTATATATTTTGACAACGGATGTTATTGAAAAATTATAAACTCTTTGGTGTCAATTTGGTACCAGGTGTGCATATTTCCTTTTCTCTGTGTACTATAGATTATAATATAGATAATACTTTCTATAATCTGGACTATAGATAATACATACTATAGTCCATAGAAAATACTATAGTCCAGACTATAGGTAATATTATATCCCACACTATACATTATACTACACTATATGGTATATGTATGTAGATTGTAGCATAGCATAGTCAATAAACTATAGTATAGACTATACTATAGTCCAGATTATAGATTATAGACTAGACTATAGATTATACTATACACTATAAACCATAGTTCATACAATAGATTATACCAAACCCCAGACTATAGATTATACTATAGTCCAGACCCTAGATAATACTATAACCCAGACTATAGAAAATATTATATATTATATTATACTATGAATCATCGTGACTGTCATTTTAAACTTGTGTGTGTTTTTTTTTTTTTCTTTTAAAATTCATTGGAAATTCTGAACTTTTAATCAAATTTTGACAGGTGATTTAAAAACCTATACATACACTACTCTTAAAACTATGTATTTTATTTGAACTCTACTTATCCTATAAATACATTTAATAATACAGCTAAAACTTAACTTATTCCCATTCATCACCAATCTCATCGTCTATAAAAGCTTCTAAATCTGGATAATCTTCTTCATCTTGTCTTGAAAAATGATTAAATATCATATCGCCGCCAGGACTAGGGGCAACAACACCACCACCTCCTCCTCCTCCTCCTCCCCCTCCACCAATTCCAGTAGTTTGAGGTAAAGCTTCATCGCAATTTATAAAATCGTCATAATTAATTTCGCCATAACCATTGTCGCTGCCACCACGATTATGACGATAACCAAGCCCATGACCATGATGGTGACGATGTTGATGTGATTTAACACCTCCCATACCGCCAGCAACACCAGCACCTCCTGCTGCTAAACCCGTATGATGTGTTGAGTAGCCCATTATTTTATAAATAGTTTGTTTGGAAGCTTTACCCGCACTGCCACTGTGGGTTTTATCATGCACATGAGTGTAGACGGTGTGCGTGTGATGATGGGTTCTTATCTTTACGGGCACATGTATGACAAAACGTTTGCCATGCACCACTCGACTCTTTAGAAGACAGGTGGGCATGAGTGAGGAATAAACGATAACTAAGAGAAAAACTTTTATCACTTTTAATTTAGCGCTGGCCAGACTAAAGTGGTGAATCTGTAATATTTAGTTTAATAAAAACGAAATTGTTTATTAGTTTTTGTTTTTAAATAGGAAATATGTCTTTATTTATACACACACACTTTAAGCATTTCGTTATGGTTATTTATTTTGTTTTAGCGTATTTTTTTAGTTTTGTTTTATCCTTAAACGTTACTCTGGCCCCTAAAAGCGTTCAACTGTCTGCGATTCGTTTTATTTGTTGGGTTTTATATGATTTTGCTATTTTGTAAATTGAAATGCACAACAAAATGCAAATGCAAAATACCTAGTGTTGGTTGGTTTCTAATTAAGTAATTATGTTTTCATTTATACAATATACATCATTACCTGGATCTAGTTGATTTAAGCAAATTGTTTATTTCTCGTTTAATTAATTATTATTGGGCGTTATTTGTGGGGGAATTTTTTTTTGCAAGAGTAGTATCTGTTTTTTCTTTATTTTCCTTTTGTTTGGTTTTTTTTATTTACCACTTTCATGACTTTCAATGATGATCTTAAAAAAATTTGCAAAATTGCATCTCATTTATTTAATATTTTCATAGTTTTTGCTGTTGTTTACTTTATTGAACAAACTTAACAAGAGTAGTGGCAGAAAACAGGGGAATGATACCTTGTTATTTTACTAGAGTAAAATCGATTCAAAAATAAAGTTTGCACCCAAAAGGAAAGTCAACATTGACCTTCTTTGATACTCCTTAAGCCCTCTTCACACGAGCTCGCAAGTAATATGATCTGTCAAAATTTTGTGTAGAAGAATACGCATGGGAATGTCCAAACATAATATGTAATGAAACCATCACACATTGAGATAAAATACAGCTGGAAAATTTGACAGTCGTATAGCTCTCTTCATTTTTAGAAAATAGATCATTGATCAGGGATGTATTTTCATGTAAACACAAAGGAGACAAGGATGTCATACGAAAAATTACGAAATTTTTTAGATCCATTTCGAAAATATTGCAAACGTTTTTTGAAACATATTTAACAGATCAAAATTTTCAATAGCAGTTAGGGAACTAAGGCCCATTTCAAAAAATATATATATTTTTCTCGTGTTCTGTACATTAATACGAATTGATAGGAACAAGATGTCTAACTGCTTTACATCACATCCGTTTACAACCACGCAGATGAGATGGCTTCTGTGGAGTCGGCAATAGCATATAAAGACGTATTCTTAGACCAAAATACGAATCCATCAAATATGCCGAGGACTTGTTCTTACTCACAGAGATCACATTGTGGTAAATCTTCCCCCCGGGGGCATGTTACCATAATCTGGTACTACGGGTGGCCAGTTGCCCACAGGACTTGTCCTGGCTGGTCAGTTGGTTGAGTTTCCTTCGGGATCCACGTATTGGCTGTGGTTTAAACCTAAATCGCAGGAAGGGGGTGCTTGGTTAAAAGACTGATACACGGTGTTTTTCGGACTACCAATTACGTCCCCTAGGTGCTGTTGCCGAATCAACAGAGCCTTAGTAGTGTGGTTGGGCGACATTATGTCGGGGTAGATTGAGCTTGCTCATGATACCTGTATTTCCTACTTTGGCAAGAGATTAGATAGCTCGAGTACTTGAGCAAAGTGCTTGTACATGGACCGGCATATCCATGTACAAAAATTGCGACCTGCGTGTAACAAACACAAAGGGGCAGTGGTGAGTTGTTTACTTGATACTCACCCAGTGGTTGAAAAAGTACCACCGTGGGGTAGGGCTACACGCCAGGTACTCACGTAAAGCACTTCGACATCTTGTGGTAAATCTTGTATGAAAAGAGTAAACTCTGAACATACCTGGACAAGGATGGAAAATTCAATGGTATCACTTTCATCCATCACCATCACCATGAATTAGAACTTCTCATTCATTGGACATACTGATAGATAACAACATCCGACACACTTAATCTACATCCAACGCTTAGTTCCACAGTCACTCCTCTGTCTTGGTAACAGCACCGAACATTTCGCGAATTATAGACTTTACCTTAAAGATTGATGTTTTTAACCGACATTCTCTTCCCGTGAATTTGGGTTGAAACCACAGCCACGTGGTGGCTATCCCAAAGGGACAAGACGATGTCCGAAACTCTGCGGGTTACCGGTTCCCACGGTACCAAGGTATCAAGAAAATGTCGAGGATTCACCTGATCATCACCAGTTTATAGTCCCGGCAGACTATTCCCGAGATTGTAATAACACCAAGATGAGGGTCTTTCGTCAAAATAACACGTCCCCGGGGGCATTGCTCGGGACACTCTAATGTACATTTGATTGATTGATTAATTAATTGATAGCACATAGCATTATGACCTAAATTGGGATCTTTTGCAGCCCTTTGGTTCACCATTGGAGATTAAGTTCTCGTATGAATCTTAATGTTCTAGACGGTGAGAGATTGAATATTTAATTAGGCGATATAAATGCGCCTTCTAGAATACTCGCTCTGAGAGGCCATAGTGGCTGACGTCACATTGTTGCCAAGAATGTGCTGGTGGCATCTAAGTCCATAGTGACCGGTATAAAGTCCCGTTCACAATCTCCGGTCACTATTAGCGCTATTAAGCTGAGCACTGATATTGACTCCCAGTGGCGAAGTAATTCTGATTTAAAAATCAGACTTTTTTTGGACAATACCCATTGAATACCCATGACATTTTTAGGCCAAGAACGAATTCCATTGAAAACGGCTGAGATTTGTCTATGTTTTCAATTAGCGTCAATATAAATGTCTTTCCCGGATATCAAAAATATGCAATCATATCAGAAATTATACTATAAAATATACCTTAAATCAAGGCCGATTTTAGCCATTTTCATAACAGATGGTCTTTGGGTCAAAGAAAGTGAACAGACGGGATCTTATTGATCTAATTATGAATTAAAAGGTATTACTTGTTTAGTATCCAAAACATTTAACATTTGCTACATGGCGTACTTCCCAACAATCGTAACTTCATTTCCATATCAATTCCCAACATTGTATGTTGTGTGGCAAAAAAATTGAAGAAGAAACAAAAACTAAAGGCACGAGCTATTTGAGCCCTCAACTCATCGTCATAGTAAAATATTTACTGTATTACACACGCAAACGAACGAATACATACAAAGTAATAATAATTACTGCACATTTTTCCCCAACAACAAAAAAAAGCGAAAAAATATCGTTATGCACTAGTGAAATGATAAAGTTATACTTCCACAAACTTCCTTCCTTCCCAGTCAACTAAACACACACACTCATTCATACATTCATTTACACAGACATTTTGCTAACATTATTATTATCAACAAACTCATCATTATTATTATAATTATTAATAATATTCATATTAATAACAATTACAAACTGTTTATAGTAACACACAAATATTTGATAATGTATGAATGAATATGCATCAAAATATGCATATTATTAATTATTATTATAAGAAATTTTATTAATTTTGCATAAACTAAAGCTAAAACTAAGTGAGTACTTCCGTTTTAACTCAGAAAAGGTGGCAACAATTTAACTGGCAAACCGTAAATGGTGTGTTATACGTTGGTTGGCATGTTTTGAAAATTAAACTTAATTAGGATTTTTTGCAAAGAAATTAATATATTTTTAACACAATTAGTTGTATTAACATAATTATGAAATTTTATTTAGACACGCAACAATTACACTTTATTTTATGAAAAAATAACGTTTAATGTTTCGCCAAATTTTTAATACTTGTTATTTGGCACTTTAGTTTTAAATTATTATTTTTAATTAATGAGGTTTTAGTTAAAAATTAGGTATTTAGTAGCCGTATGGTTAGACTTAAAGTGGAGTAACCATTACAAATTCAAATGATAAAGTATAAGCAAGCGGTATTTAGGAAGTTGATGGATTTATGGGAAATAAAGTAATTTTCTAGATTTTACCACATTTTTAAATAATATTTAAAATCACAATCATTTAAATACGTAGTTTTATAAAATTTTATCAAAAGTGAACTTTAGTAAAAAGTCGAGAGCAACATCCAACTTACCCCGAAATTAGTTAAGTTCAAATCGTTCGGATCGGAAAAAATTAAAATTAAGGAAAAATAATGTAAACAACTAATAGACTAGACTATAGACTAGACTATAGACTAGACTATAGATTAGACTATAGACTAGACTATAGACTAGACTATAGACTAGACTATAGACTAGACTATAGACTAGACTACAGACTAGACTATAGACTAGACTATAGACTAGACTATAGACTAGACTATATACTAGACTATAGACTAGACTATAGACTAGACTATAGACTAGACTATAGACTAGACTATATACTAGACTATAGACTAGACTATAGACTAGACTATAGACTAGACTATAGACTAGACTATAGACTAGACTATAGACTAGACTATAGACTAGACTATAGACTAGACTATAGACTAGACTATAGACTAGACTATAGACTAGACTATAGACTGTAGACTAGACTATAGACTAGACTATAGACTAGACTATAGACTAGACTATAGACTAGACTATAGACTAGACTATAGACTAGACTATAGACTAGACTATAGACTGTAGACTAGACTATAGACTAGACTATAGACTGTAGACTAGACTATAGACTAGACTATAGACTAGACTATAGACTAGACTATAGACTAGACTATAGACTAGACTATAGACTAGACTATAGACTAGACTATAGACTAGACTATAGACTAGACTATAGACTAGACTATAGACTAGACTATAGACTAGACTATAGACTAGACTATAGACTAGACTATAGACTAGACTATAGACTAGACTATAGACTAGACTATAGACTAGACTATAGACTAGACTATAGACTAGACTATAGACTAGACTATAGACTAGACTATAGACTAGACTATAGACTAGACTATAGACTAGACTATAGACTAGA